GAACTGGTTAGCCTGGCTGCCCCTGGGTGGGTCCGGGATGGGCGTGAGGTTCTGGGGGCGCTCCGTCTCTGGGCTGGGGCCCGGGCCGGGCCTCGGGGGCTTGGGTCCTGGTTGGTGTGTTGCCGGGGTTGTGGGCGGGTGGGTGCATGGGGGCCCAGCCCTGGAGCAGGGTGCCGCCAGTGCATCGAGCCACCTGGGGGGCTCTTCAACTGGTGGGGAAGATTGTCACATCTTGCAGGAGCTTTCCTCTCCTCAGGGGCTCTCTGCAGGAGGGGGAGACACAGGAGAGGTGGAGGAAGATCTCAGCCTGGGTGTTTATTGTCTTATGTAGTCTGGAAGAAGAGTGGATGGTGGGGTGGGTGCAGTTTTCTCTGTGGTGGGGTTGGGTGGACTGTCCCGGGCTCTGTGGGGCCGGGCGGCGCTGCTGCACTGGGCCCGGTCTGGATGGGCCTGGGCCCCCTTTCCCTGGCGGGTCGCGGAGTATGGGGGTGCCTACTGGGGTCAGCGGGGGAGCTGGCCCCAGGGAGGGGTCACTTGCCCCTCCCTTCCTTCCCTCCCCATCTCCAGCTGCCTCCCTCTTCCCGCTCCACCACAACCACCCACACATGCAGGACCTTGGAGTAGGGGTATGTCACCAGGGTGCAGAGGAGGCCCCCCCCCCGTCCCCTTCTGGCTGCCTCTGCCTCAATTTTATCCCACAACTTAGACATTCACATTACTCACACTCTCATTACACATACATATAGGATCTTGGGGGTGGGCACGATACACGGAATCCAAAGTACCATCAGGGTGTACACCCCACCCCTGGCGTCGTTGCCCACCTCTCAATGTTAAATACACGTAGACATTGAGGGCTAGCAGGAGGGACCATGCGCTTACCTGCTGCTCTCTGGCAGGTAGCTCCATGCCCTCCTGGGTTTTAAATGCACCTTAGAACACACATGCATCAACACTACAATGAGCGGGTGGAGGGAGGTTTGGAGTCTTCTCTCACCCCCATTCTCTGCGACCTGCTGGAGCGGGGGGGCTAGGAGGAGGAGTTGGCCATCCGACTGCGGTCTGGAGTGTGGGGCCTCCCTGCTGCTGCGGAGTCGGGGCGGTCTGCCTCCCCCCACCGCAGGGAAAAGGGTAACACCACCTGGGTCTGGGTGCAGTTCCCCCCTCCAGGGGCAAGGGTACCTAGACCCGGTTTGTAGAGTACGCTTGGGGAGTGTGATCGTGTGTACAGCGTCTCTTTATGTCTGTCTCCACGTTGATTGAGTGTGGAGTAAGTGCATATGAGAGCATGAGGGTGGGAATGGATGTTTGTATCTGTGTGTGCCTGTATGTCTGTGTCTATATGTCAGGTTGGGTATCAGACGCCACCTCTCTGGGGACATCTCAGGCCCTCCAAGGTTTGGAGGCCTATCTCCCCCTACCACCACTTCCCCTGCCAGTGGCGGACTCCCTCAGACATCGGTGCGTTGGTGGTTCTTTGTGTCCGGGGTGGGCGTCCAGGTACACACCGGCTCACTCCTTGGCGGCCGCTTATCGGGGCCTGGAGCCTGGGGCTCGCTCGGGCCACTTCGGAGGTGGGGTGCCCCCGGCCTCTCGGCCTGGGGCTCGGTCACTCAGGCACGGCTGGCTGCCGGCGGAGCTCACGGGCGCGTCACTGCAACTCCCCCTGGCTTCTGCTCCGCGGCTGCTGAGTGAGCCCTCATCTGGGACTCTCCTCAGCTCTTACTGGGACAGTGGCGCGGCTGCCCCTCTGTTGGTCTTCCTTGGTCTCTTGTGTTCTGGGGGCCTCTGGATGTCTGGAGTTTTGATCTCCTCCATACCTGCTTCATGCCCTGGAGGACGGGGCTGTGGCCCCCCCACACCCTCTAGCAGATCATTACATGAAGGAACCTTTTAAAAAAAAAACAAGCGCGTCCATGCTCACAGGTGTACACACGGGTGATCACACCCACAAACTACACCCTTTTTGGCTCCTACCTCAAAGCACACTGTGTTCTGTTGATCTTATGTGCTGCACAATAATGTTTAATATTTAGTATTTACTGTCATATTCCCATATATCATTGTGATGTTGTTTATTCTATTACTCTTGTTCTCTTCTGCTTGTTTTCTTTTTTCTTTCTCAACAGGTGATCCAGGTGATTGATATATGCATTTTTTTTCTGCCCGTTCTGTTGGTTTTTGTCTTTTGCCCTTCTCCCCCGTCCCTCTTCTCAGCTGTTTCTCTTTCCCTCTTTCTTTCTCCCCTTCTTTCCCCCAGTCAAGTCTGTCCCGTATTCAGTAAGTGAAAATAAAATAAACAATAAAAGGTGAATCAAATGGACCATTACGGCAAGGCTGGGATGGTCAATTTGGTAAAGTAAATCCGTTGGGCATCTTTCTTTGCCTTTAGACAACAATTCTGATGGCAAAAGAGCCAAACGGGACAGGACAAAAAAAAAAAAAAAGATTTTGCAATAGTTTGCAATAAGAAAGAGACTGGGCGTGTTAATCTCCATTGATAAAGGGATTAAGGGTAATTGGCGATTTGTATCAAAACAACACACTGATGAACTTTGAGCAATTGCGGGTGTGTGTGTGGATTTGTTTTTTTTTCTTTTTTCTGTTTAGTTGTTATGTTTTATGAAATTCTTGATAACGAATAAAAATTGTATATCTAAAAATAAAAAAGAAATTAGGTTTAACTTTAGTGTATTAAAGTTAGAAAAATCAGTTAAAAGTTGTCAAATATTATTGCGCCGTATTTGATAGCTTGCTGCGAGACCTCACACCGTGCACATCTACTGCAGTTAGGTTGCCTGTTATCGGACCTGGAGTTAGCAACATCCCCAAAAACCCAAAGAGTAGAGTCCTGGCCCCTAGCCCTGCCAGTGTAGCAGAAATGATGACGGCAGCAGTCGTTCTTCTCTGCGCGAGTACCGTATTTTCACGACCATAAGACGCACTGTACTAAAAGGCGCAGTCTCAGTTATGTGTGCCATTACTGTATTTAACACACACATAAGGCGCACTGGATTATAGGGCTCATACAAGTACCGTATGCGTATTTAAAAATAAAGCGGGAGCAAAACTGAGTTTGGTACTCACATTTTTATTACCAGTAATCGTCATCATCAACAACACACAAGCATACAAGTGTGCGTATTTAAAAATAAAGCAGGAGCAAAACAAAGTTTGGTACTCACATTTTTATCATCAATCAAACCCATCGAAGTCCTCATCCTCTGTGTCTGAATTGAACAGCTGCGCTAAATCTCCATCAAACATGCCAGGTTCACTTTCTTCACTGTCAGAGTCACTTTCCGTGCCGTGCGGCTCCTCGGAAATGATGCCGGCTTTTGCGAAAGCTCGAACAACAGTGCCAGCAGACATGTTAGCCCAAGCATCTACAATCCATTGGCAAATTGTGGCGTAACTCGCCCGGCGCTGCCTTCCACTCTTGGTGAAACTTTCATCCAACCTTTTTCTTAAATAATTGCGATTTTAGGTGAAAAAAAAACTACGGTGAGTAAACTCTCTTCTTCGAATATCGAGTTGGATATTTTTAACAATACTTGGGAAACTCTGAACCGTCTCATACCATAACCTGGGTCTTTAGGATCTGCTAGACAATTTTTTGACGGGCCGGTATCACGAGGCGCCTTCAGTAAAGAATAGACCGAGTTATGTGGTACATCAGTGGGTTTAAAAGACCGGGCTTGGATTGTTGTCCTCTTTTGTCAGGAAAATCAGCTTTCTTCCTGGACGGTGCACAAAGCTTCACACGTTCTCATTCATTAATCACTTTTTTTTTTTATCACTCAGCACGTCTATAGTGTTGATTTCACATGCGGCGTGAGGTGGGCACTCCGCCATTCTTTCCAAAGAATGTGAATTGGGACAACGCATTAATAACAGGCTCGGAGACATGGTAAGATCAGCGCATCCGGGAAATAAACTATCAAAATAGCTCTCTTGATACTAGATAGATCCTTCCATTGACATTACCCCGGAATGCCATTCCCCAAGCACAATGCTTGTACTCATTTACATTTCGATCCTATTTCCACCTTGTTGAAACACATCTGGCTATTTTAAAAGATTCGGCTTGGACCATTCCGTGTTGGTGCGACATGGTTGAGGTTTGTACTACACCAGCTGATTTAGGCCCTTTTTCGATTTGCCTTACTGGCAAGTAGATCTCGATCCGCCCAAGGTAGGGGCTGCAGGAAAACCAAACACGATCTTCTCTTAGGCTTATCGGGGTCAGTCAAAAAGGTCGTTGTCAATTCAGCCTTACTGATATAATGTATTTATAAAAAATTCAAACCCTCCATACAGGTATAACGGACTAGTGCGGGATCCTGAGGTCATATTTTTGCTCCATCATAGCCACATGGAAGCCAGCAAAGCTTGGCAGAGCGGAATGCCAGGATATAAAAAGAAGGGAGGGCACTTTCATTCATACCCTACTCTAGCTTCACCGTATAGTGGTAACGTGTATTCAACGCTACGATTTCAAGGTCAGTAGTCTGGTCCTCGTACTTAACATTCAGCATTATATACCTTAAACATGCTTTTTCAGCACCTCAACGGCACATACACAGTGTGAACCCAATCAATATACGTTCGCGTGAGATGATTCAAAGGAGGGATAGAAAGAGTCTGGGCGCTGGCTGCGACTCCGAATCAGGAGACTTAACGCCTTGTGATTTTACGGGTCCAATACTGGTGTGTGAATCGATGATGTGGATTGGGCTGGAGATCAAGGAATTAGTCATTTTCAGAATGGAAAAAGTCTGCTGCTCCTGAATACAGGACCGACTTCACGCCTTGTGATTTAGGAACCTGTGGGACAGAATCAGAAAAACATTCACTATTAGAGCTTACATTCAACATATTTACAGGAAAACTGACAAAGCTAGATGTGCCGACTACTTTATTACCTTCATTATGATCCTTGACCCTCTTTAGCTTTTTCTGGTGTTGCCTCGATCTCCTCGACACCAGCCTGGGTCATCAGGTCAGCAATGTTTTTTTCCAAATCATCAATACGTGTGCTCATTTCATCAAGTGGAGAATTAGTTAAGGCAGGTAATTACAACTGGAAATCACAAAGTCAGCTAACACGGAACAAATGACCCAGCCTACAATTATTAACTTTGATGCATATAATCAATACAACATTTTAGATAATTATTAGGATATTCCTTCCAATGATCTGGTCTGACATGGTCTGGAACTTGTCCTGCATCTGTTGCAGCAGAGTCTGAACCTGTGGAGGGGAAAAGAGCAGAAATTATGAAACTGGAGCCACTTAGTAGTTAAAGTTTATGGAGATATAAAGTGAAGTCATAACACTGCCAGATACAAACACTTTTAAGCATATGGTCTGTGAATCAAAGCGTGAACAATGGTGAATTTGTTTCTATGCCAACAACTTAAAAGCTTGACTGTGGATCTATGATTTACTGTAACAAGTACACCTGCAGCGCACCCACCCCCCCCAATCTCTTCATTCTGCATCTCCTTCACATAACAGTCAAGTTAATCCTCAGCTTCTTTAAATCTGTGTGAATACGACTGTAGGAAACTAGGTAATGCATAACAACAAATGACTCAAACTAGCGGAGGTGGTTTTTAAACGTTTGCGAGGTTTACTGAAGCTGAACGTCTCTCACTGACCCCCATCTCTATGGCAACACTCAAACACTGCCTACGCAGGCTTTGTCGTATAGGAAACACTAAAAGAATCATTAACATATAATCTGTACATTTTAAGGTCTGTGTGAAACTGCGCGATATTCAGTAGTTAGACACTGATAAGGGAAACCTGCTATATATAAGTGCCAGGTGAATAAGAATAGAAAATGTACTGCAGGTAACTTTTACATAATTCTGTGCAGTTTACTCGTTGGAATTTGGTGATGCCATTTACATGACCGGTTGCATTACTTGTGCTATGTTTTTTTTCCTCGGGGTTGACAGTTCTCCATTTGCAAACATTTTGGCATGGATCGATCCATTTTACTCGTTAATATGACCGCTTTTGAACATTCTCCATTACATAACATTCTGGAGCTAAGTCTTGGGGTTGTGGTTGGATGCAACAGAGCTAACAGCGGACACGTTGGAATCTAGAGGTTTTTAAACACCTCCGCTTGATTTCATGTTCCTCAAAACAAAAAATCCCACCGACAACCGCGTAGCTGAGTCGGAGCTTGTTTTCGCAACTACATCGATTCGTTAATCTTAAATTCTCTCGCCGCTGCTCGATTTCCATGTTCCTCCGCATAGCTGATGGCCTTCAGTTTAAACTGTGCTTCATAAGCGTGTCTCTTTGCCATTTTCAGGGTTGTTAAAACAACGATGTTCCACATAATGCACATACCTGTCCTTTTATACAGGTATGTGCGATTGTCCGGTATATACGATCAACGCCCACACTTCACCCTTTAGCGTTCTCATGGTGTTCTCTACTACGTCCTCCTTACAACACACAGGGCGCACTGCGCTATAGGGCGCGCCGTACTTTTTGAAGAAAATCTAAGACTTTTAAGTGCGCCTTATGGTCGTGAAAATACGGTATATATTATCAGACATGAACATCTTCCATGCATCTATTGGGGAGACAGTACTAGACCCAGGTGCAGGCCCTGGCCGACTAATTCAGAATATTGTGGCTGGAGCGTCCTATCAGACCCGGAGTTAGCAACATCCCCCAAAAACCCGAAGAGGAGAGTCCTGGCCCCTAGCCCTGCCAGTGTAGCAGAAATGATGAGGATGATGGCAGCAGCAGCCGTTCTTCTCTGCGTGAGTAGCTTAATGTTGTTCGTGTGTAATTTACGTTGAGTAGGCTAACCACGTTATTACATTAATGCACGTAAGGTGAACTAGCAAACATCATCATAGCTACATGCGGCTGTCTTCTTGTTTGATGGCAGATACTCCCTTCACCCTGGCCAAAAAGGCTAAAATGACCAAAGAAAAAGTGGAAAACAGTTAAACATGAGAGGTTTTGGACAAAGTTTGTGTTTTTTCCATTGTTTAAGCACTGCTTCCAGCCAAGAGTGATACCATATATGCCCCATAGCTGCAGAAAAGGCTAACATTGTTATCTTTTTACAAAAAACAGCTGAACATGAGAGGTTTTTGGACCAATTTTGTGTTCTCCATTCTTTAAGCACCGGTTCGAGCACCGTTTGAGCACCGGCACCGTTTCAAAAGTACCGGTTTGGCACCGGTATCGGATAAAACCTTTTTTGAGACCATTTTGCATTCTTTAAGCACCGGTTCGAGCACTGTTTAAGTACCGGCACGGATTCAAAAGTACCGGTTTGGCACCAGTATCGGATAAAACCTAAACGAAACCCATCCCTAATCAGGGCCTTATGAGCTTATACTTGTGTTTTTAAAAGTTATCGTTTGACTTTATGACTTTCTGTGTCGTTTCTGGGATGCTTAGGACTCATATTGCACTGCTGGAAATAGTTTATTTTGATGCATATGCTGCTTTTTTGCAAATTTGCATTATAATATTTATTTTTGTTTTTCCTGCAGTATATAAAAATTGGTGTATTTCAAAAATAAAACTATGAAGACACTCAAAATAAATTTCCTGTGGTGGGAAACTATTTTGTGCAACTTTTTTGTATTTACAGTTTTGAGGGATAAGCCTCTTAAATTTCTCTAACTAGAAATATATGTTAAAAAACGATTTTACATTTTTTTGTAGTTTATTGCACTTTTTTGCAATGTATGTAATTACTATGCACTTAATGCAGACATATTATTAAAATTTGGGCTATAATGGTTGTATTGATGTATAGCAACTTGAAATGCTCCCAAAAATGGCTCCACAGCATGTAAAAATATAATATAAGCTCTGGCGGACTTGGTTCTATGACGCCGAAGAATTCGTGTGCGGGTTTTGTTTATGTTACAAACGGGCGGAAAGTGAATGACGAGGCTTGGTAAGTAAAGCTTGAAGTTTTAAGTTAACTCTTAAATTAGGGAACTTACTAGGGTATAAAATCCTTATAAGGGGCGATACAGAATCAGCCCAATTGCGCACCGTGCGCGTTGTGAGCTCGCGCTACTATTATAGAAAACGGTAGACTTTCTCAAGTGATTTAATTTTTGCCTTTAAAAGTTCTTATTTGCACAGGCTTATACGAAACCTTCATCTGTTTATAACAATGTAACCACTCGCTGTGAATGCTGGGCCTCTGTGTCTTGTTACTCTGAGGCTGGCACAGTAGCCTAAAATTGATGTCTGGAAGTTCAGGCATGTTAGCCCAACCCAAAGAAGCTATGCTTTGCTTACGTAACAAAGCTCGTTGTGTTATCAGATGTAGTCCATCACATTTGGGCTGCTCTCGTGTGATGGTTAACTTCTACAGCAGGCGGAGGGAAGTAGCTGGAGACGCCTTGGATTGAAATGTCCTGAATAATATTTAACTTTGGAAAACACGTAGAAACCTTTTTATGGAATGTGTTAAAGGTCTGCTGCAGGTTTTCATTCACTTTGCATTGTTAATCATCACACCTTTAAAATGCTTTCTGCAATGTTGGTGTTTTTACAGCCGTTATGTCCTTATTACAAATAAATGCCCTCTGATGTTAATCAGGCTGTACACAGGAGATTCCACTCAATGCATCTGCTGTTACGTTGAGGAGAAACGGTTAACAGCAGCAGTCTTACAAGAAGAGAAGCTGTTGGTGAGGGTTTTGTGTTATCACGACAAAAGTGTGTTGACCCAGTGCTGACTGGATTTCCAGGTTTGACTGATTCGTCAGCTGAGCCTTGTGACCAATCAAAAGAGCACATTCATTCTAGCGCGTTTCAAGGTTTGATAATGAAAATATTACACAGTCATTACTGAACAGGAACACAACAGTACCCACAAGCATGACGCCACTGCTCACTGTTGTTCAGCATGTGTAGGTCAGGGTTTTGTGTACACAAAATACGTTTGTTTTTGTTTTGTTTCTACTGAAGAACAACAATATAGGGAACTGGAGTTTTAGGGAACTGTATGAAATCAAATTTACTGAAACATATTGTAACACTGTTTGGAGGGAAAAGAGAACTACTGTGACCATTTGTAATAAAGTAAAATAAAATTCACTTCCTGCTGTGACAAAACAAATTTCCCATGTGTGGGACTAATAAAGGTTATCTTAACTTATCTTATCTTATCTTAAAGTATCATGCCAAGTAGTCACAGTAGTCACTTTGCTTGCTAATAATAATATTAATTTGAAGATTTAATTTAAGAAAACATTTTGAATTACAGGACCTTTGTTATGAAGACAGCCTGGTAATAGAATATGTTTAACTGAACATTTAAGCTAAGAAGAAAAAAGAAAAGCTGGTGTATGCAGCTGGTGCAGATATGCATTTTGACTTGTTATTTAAACAGTGTGGTAGATCCCATACTGGTCACCTTAGTAACGCCCCTAGCTTCACCAGCCGGTGACTGTTTAACCTCTCCTGGCAGTCCACGTCCTCTGTTGCTGTACATTCCCAGACCTTTGACTCCCACTTGTGATCCCTGTTCTGATATGTGGCCACTATAAAAGACAAGAAGTTTAAATAATAGAAAAGTAGTTTGCTTGTTACTTGTCTGTCCTCTATATATTTATGTAATGAATTAAAGTACAGTATACTATTTTCACACAGTCATGGGTCCATTTATTCTAACTGTTGGGAAACCTGAATAAAAATGAACCTTTTCTTTGCTGCACATCTGTTTGGAATCACTACTACGCCTGCCTGTAACAGCAGAGCTTGCCTAAGATGTGTTATTGAATGATTTTGATTGATGGAAATGGATGTAAAACGATTAGAAAAATAAGATAACTGCCAACATTTAGAAGTTGTATTTGGACAATAATGAGCCTTTTGTACTTTAAAAAAATATAAAAAGATAAACATTTAACAGCTGTTTTTGACTAATCAACCAGCAAATATGTGAAACTGTAACAGACTATGCAACAATGACATAGTTGTCTACTTCAACATTATGTTCTGCATAAAGAAGCTTAAAAGCAGTATTATGCCTGCCTTGTATGTGTGCATTGATAGGCCAGAATCAGCTGACTGAGATCATTTTGGCTCTAATATGAAGGTATATTGCTTCATGTTTTATGTAAGTTTGGTTATTTTGGTCATCATGCATGGGCTACTTTCCTGTAACAGATTTTGTGCTGGAAATAAAAATGAAAATTGTGATGTGAGATATAAGAATGAGGCATTTAATTGCGCTCGGGCAATGTTAATCTCTGGTTAGTGACTCTGGGCGCCTCATAATGCCCATTAATGATAACGCTGCTGACCTCCCATTACTTTGACTCTCTGACAGTGGCCTGCTGTCTGTCAGATCTCCTACTGCTACTCATCCACCTCCTGAACACTCGTAATATTCCCTTGCTGTGATGGATGCCGAGGTGGTTCTCCAGGAGGAGGACATGGAGGGCTCGTGGACGCTGCTCTCCTGGCTGGCATCATTCGTAATGGTGTTTGGGGGAGCCCTGCCTTATGTGCCGCAATATCAGGAGATCCAGAAAAGCAGCAACACTGAGGGATTCTCCACCAGAGTCTGTCTGGTGCTGCTCATAGCTAACATCTTGCGTATATTTTTCTGGTAAGAAAGTATTTGTTCTTTACTCAGAATTTTTATCCTTTTGCTTTTCTGTTTTATTCCTTGTAAAGGTGCTAACCTGTCATGTCGGCCTTGAGGCTCTGTATTTAAATACAGCTGATCCTACCGGACTACATGCTGATCTATAAGAGCTCTGTATCTAAAGTCCTGATTGATTTTGGTTGCCTTGGTCTTGTTCTTGCAGGATAGGGAAGCAGTTTGAGCTGACCCTGCTGCTTCAGAGTGTGGTCATGATTCTCACCATGTTTGCCATGCTCCACCTTTGTTGCACTGTGCAAAACACCAACAGAGTAAGCACCAAGCAGCATCGCCTTTCAGGTAACCGCAGCTTACCATGCAATCACTGTCATGATCATTTACAGTTACAGCAAGTGACGCATCCAACATTCAATGCTTCCCTGTGTCAGCAGTTTTAGGCGAGAACTCCTGCTTCTTTCCAAAAGAGGGAGCTAGTGGAAAAGCTAACATTGCAAGATTGCTGTTCTCAAAACACCTTACCTATGAGAGCTACTTTTTATATTCTGACTTGTCCTCTGTATATTGAATTCTTCTTTTCAGTTTCCAATGTGACGAATACGCAAACACACTAAACACAGTAAAGCTTGAAATATCATTAAAATATCACGTTAAAGAATGTGTAAGAAGTGCAAAGCCAAACAGAGACCATCCACTATAATTGCAAACCCTTCTTTAACCTTATGGCATAACCTGAAGTGCACCTCCCTCGAAATGTAACTACATGTCATGTTCATGCAGCCTGCAACTAGTTTTTAATTTATCAATAATCACTGTCTCAATGTAAAAAAATGGAAACTAATATAAAAGCAAAATTCTGGAGTGAGATCACTGAAATTGTCCAAATTGATGTGAAGGGATGAACAAGGTACTTTATTTGTTTCCATTTGCTGGCACTGCATGTAAAGCACCAGGACTCAACCATAAGGTGAATATGCACCAGCACAAGTATAAATGTCGGCAACAACGTCGACCACTAAACGTAGGTTACGTCGTAGACGCTACCGCAGACGTCTAAAACAGCCATTAGTCAGTTTGTGTGGAAATAAGCCGGGTTACATGGTGGCATTGTGACAAATATGTCTTCATAACATGAATTATAGAGTACAGCGAGGTAAAGATTTGATTTAAGGTGCACAGGCAGCAGGTCTGCAGAATGTCGGCCCATCCCACCCTGTGAATTACAGGATATCTCTCCTTACAGTGCGTGTGCACGAAGTATAAGAAATGTGATGGAAACACAAGCATGTGAATGTGTTTCTTAGGAGGCTGTGGATGACGTATTGGTACAGAGTGAGAGCAGATGATGTGAGCTAAGATTAAGCGCACCAATATCAGTGTCTCCTCTGAATTGTGTGTGTGTGTGATGCCAAGACGGGGAACCCAACCAAGATTATTTACAGGGTCTCTTTTTATAGGCTGCTGTCTTTTATAGGTAATTGTGTTTTTTACAGACGCTCGAGCCAAATATTCTGACAGAAATTCAATCTTAGTGCAGTTTTTCTTTTTTGTTTTATTAGACAACGAAGTAAAACTGAATAATGGAATCTTGTAATAGTCTGATCATGCAGAGCACAACGTGTTATTAAAGACATAAATCACGATAACTGATTTTAGGTTGATGGATATGAAACAGGGAGAATATTTCTTTGTAAAGACGAGCAGAAAGCATGTCTGTTTGTTAGGCTGTCAGAGGCAAATCCCTCTAAATGAGTTTTGATTGAGGAACTACAGACTGAGTGTGTGTGTGTTTAGACAGGAGAGTAATGATCATCTTTATGTTAGACTGTGCTTCTCTTGCCTTTACAAAGAACTGATCTATTACTCATCAGCAGCCCCCCTCCCCCCTCTGTTTATATTATTTCAGCCTACGCCAAACAGTTTTTGTGGTGAATAAAATAGTTTATTGTAAGTGGAGGAGGATCGTCTGATTTCCATATAGGCTGTTTGTGAACGTGTAGCAGTGAACAACAATTCTGCCTGCAAGCCACTGAGGCGTAAACTGTTAATCAGAGGAAACAGAGCGATTGATTTAAAGCGATCTTTATTTTTTAATCACACTATCAGCTAAAACACATCATGAACACTCTTTCACATTAAGCCCCTCGCTCTCTCTTAAGGGCAGCTCTGAGGTCCAGTTGCGATGGGGGATGGTGGGGTCGGGACAAGAATAGATCAGAACGGCTCTTCTCCCCAGCTGCCTGCTCTTCCCTCCACGTTTCTTGTGCAAAGTCTTTCCAACAGATCAGGGTCATCTCTATGTAAAATAGTTACTTCTAACCATGATGCATGTCGGCGTGGTTTACAAATACGGAGCTATTTTTGTGGCTCCTTCATTTCTTAGCTCCTCGCTCAGAAGTCCTGACTGCTCTTTATTTCTCACACCTTCCTCCACTCTTCTTCTACTCTCCCCTCTCCTCCTCCTGTCGATCCTTCTGTTGCAGTTTCAAGGGCTCCCACTTCTTTTCCTTAACTTCTACTTTTATGAACAGATATCTGAGACTGCCAGAGTCCATGCTGAGGTCATCTCTGATCCACTTGCTTTAATGCCAACTTCTGTCATCTGCCTACTAACCTCATTTCCACTGCCTCAAAGCACACTCGAGCAGAACATAACCTGACTGACTGAGGCCAAACAGAGAACTGCATGTCTCCTGTGAGTGTCATTCTCCCACAGTTAAAAAAAGATAAAAATTTTGCAGCGCTGAAAGTTTTTTTCTTTCTTTTCTGTTGGCTATACCAACACATTGTTGTTGCGTTCCTAAATACATTAAGTTATAGTGAAATGTTTCTTTTTTAACATTGCTCTTATTACAATATTACATAGTCCAGTGTATTACTTACCTTTTTACGCTTTATAGAAAGTAATTTATGAATTGCTCATTACATTACTTTTTGCATTACTCCTCAGCATCACATAGGAAGCACTGTCACTTAATTGCCTATATAATATGAAACTTTCCATCTACATGTATATATGGATATCCTGACAGTGAAGACTTATCAATGATCTCCTTTCAGTATTTAGTTCTTATCACAAAGCTGAAAACAGCTGGTGAAAGAGCACTCGACAGCTGCTTCGTGTGTTAGCACGCTGCCATTGAAGCTGGATGCTGAGATTTGATATCGTGCACAGGAGATGGGTTTGGTTTTTCTTCTGGATTTCACATCCTTGTGCATAATGTGCATATCTCCACCCGTGAAGATCTGTAGACCACTGTGCCATTTAGGCTATGGTTCACTAATGATGTTTTACTCAGAGCTGACTCTGGTCTTCTCAGCATTCCTGTCCTTTTGGATCTGAGTTCAGCCTTCGACACGATCTCTCCTTCTAAACAGACTTTCCTCTCTTGGCGTCTCCGACACACCCCCAGCCTGGTTCCAATCATATCTCCTTGACCGCTTCCAGTTTTTTAAACTCAAATCATTCCGCTCTCGTCTATTCCCGGTCACTTCTGGTGTACCCCAACGTACAGTCTTAGGCCCTCTTCTCTTCATAACATACATCCTCCCTCTTGGTACCATTTTCCATAAATTTCATCTTTCCTTTCACTGTTTTGCTGATGACACCCAGTTAAATCTCTCCCGCTGGCCTGATTCCTCCCTCCCACCTTCTCTTATAGAATGTTTATCCGAATTAAAATCCTAATTTTCTTAAGCTCAATGAGGATAAAACTGAACTCCTTCTTGTCGGCACTAAATCCAGCCCACTGAAGGCAAATCATTTCACTCTCACTGTTGATAACTCCACAGTTTTCCCTTCTCCTCAGGTTAAGAGCCTTGGTGTCATCCTAGACAGTTCACTGTCCTATAAATCTCACATCAGTGATCTCACCTGTTCTGCCTATTTCCATCTATGCAACATTAACCGATTACGTCCTTCTCTTTCCACCCAGTCTGCGTCCATTCTTGTTTAATAGTCTCGTTACCTCCCGCATTGACTATTGTAATTCTCTCTTGCATGGTCTCCCCCAAAAATCCCTCCATAAGCTTCAACTGGTTCAAAACTCTGCTCCCGGCATTATTACCAGAACCCCCTCCTTTTTTTTT